ATTATTTATGGAGCGCATTTTTAAAAAAATGTCGTTTACAAATTGTTGAGAAATTATCTCTTTCACAGCCGCAAACTGTGATCAACCCCAACCGAGTTACCAATTTGTGTATTAATCAGTTATTCTAATCTGTGCAATTGCATTTAGATACACGGTAGTGAAACTGGAAATGGACCATAGATTAATGTAATATACTCGAACGCTCTGACCGAGTTTACAATGTGCACGACGCAAAAATAGTATTGTGTGTTATTCTCGACAAAATTACCTTTTTGGGCCGTCTTAGGCTAAATTTTTAACATAATAATCAACTCGATAAATATATACAGCCAAATAACGAATACGGACCAATGGTTAAAATTTTAAAACATTCAATTTAGCTTTAATTGAAGCTTAGTATAATGATCAATCAAATTAAGTAATTTCGTATGTTCGTTAACGAGAAATAAGTAATAACCAATATCATCTTGTTATCATCGATTACAAAATTAAAATCGTTAATGAATATCCTTTTTCAGTTTTCATCTTATCGCCAAATTATCATCTAATTATCATATTATCGTAGAAAAGATAAAGCCGAAAATGAATTATATCTTTTTTGTTACAATTCTAAGAACGGTTTCGACGATTCGACAAAATTTCTTTTACGGCCATGTAACAATCGAGTAGTGATTTCAAAGCAAAATAGACAATAGTATTATTTAGTGCAGGTGTAGATGCAGCAGTTAAATAAATATTAATTTGCATTTTTATGGTAGCACAGAAAATATTTTTTTTTTACGCGTCAATGGTAGAAGTATAAAAAATATATTAGTATCGCGTTACCAAATTGTGGTGTTATTTTTTGTTCAAAATCGTATTGTAAAAAAAAATGTATGGCTATAGAAACCACCAGCTCTATATACAATGGAAATTAAACGTTAGAAAAATAAATCTTACCTGTGCTGTAAAATGTATTTGAAATATTAACACGATTAGTTTGAAATGTCATCTGCAAGCCGATCTAAACTCACGTTTACTGTAACCGCTACTGAAATCCAAACAACATACACTAATGTATTTGAATGCCGAAGATTTAAAAAAGAGATTTATATTTTGCACGCAGCACGTTAAATTTCCAACAAAGAGCAAAACACGTATTATTTTCCTTAAAAGGTATAAGACCTTGAAAATATTATTGTTTTTTTAGAAAATCTTCAAGATAGTCGTTAAGTAGGTACATAAGTTGGATACGTACGATAATTGTACCTCTATCATCACCGTCAACGTAATTAATATCATTAAACGTTGCGTTATAAAATGTAATAAATACTGAACACAATAATGATTTATACGGTTTTTAATGGTCGTTCTCACCAAATTAGCCTAAAAAATGAAATATAATTTAACAATATTTAAGTTATAGAGGCAGAGCTGGGGAAAATAATTTAATAAAATAACGAAAAAAAACTAAAACAACTTAAATAATGTTTTTATTTAAAAAACAGAATATTTTATTTGAATTGCCAATAACATTGTTCGAAAAAAAAATTGATTTGAATAACTCAAATTAAATGACATATTTGAATATTTAAAATATAATAAAATAATCAGCTAACTTAAAAAGCTGACATTTTTTTTACGGTTAATATTATATTATAAGTGGTTTATGTGAATTACCATTTATTCGAATAATAGTTTCATAGATTCTCAAATGAGTGTACATTTTATGTGTTGTTATTTTTTATTATAATAAAAATTAATATTGCTGGCATAACTTGAGCGTTAGTTTTTTGGCTTATGGAATATTTTTTCGAGATTCTAAATTATAGAATTATGTATTCTCTTTTTATAAAAACACAACCCTTTTCGATTTGTAACAGACTAATCCTGTTACATTATTTCACATGCGTACAATATATACAACCAAAATTAATCCTTTGAGTAAATCTAGATAAGTCGCAGAATTCTGAATTGACTAAATTCAGTTTGTTAGTGTACCGCGTTGGGTAAAACAAACAATGTGAAATGAAACATAATATGTTTACCTACTTAATATGCACGTTTTTTATTAGTTATTGTTATTTTGTCGAAACAATAATACATATTTGCAAAAATGCAATTAAAATGTATACAACCTGTAGCCGACAGGCAAATAGTACTTTAATTAAAAAATGTAATTTGAAGATAACAGATTTTAATAAAACTTTATTACATTTTATTTTTATGAGCAATCAATAGTAATAACCTAGCCGACAACTAGGTTAGGTTAAGTTAGAAAGTTAAAAGTAATTTTTTTAAGCAATTATGTTATTTTTTTTACATTTAAAAATTATATCGAAAATAAAATAATTTATTGTTGGAAAATACAAATAGGACATTAAATCACACAATACCGTTACCCACTCTCTAATCACTAAATCTTTATCTAAACAAAACGAGACTATTGATTAAAACAATAAATTTGGTTTTTAATATTATTAATAAAAAAATTATTATATGTATGTGAATTTATAGTTTAAGTAAATTACGCCAAGTCTCTTGAGTTAAAATTATGTACCGGGATACTCTATTTTGGCGGTGCCTCATAGCTGTAACTTTCAATGTCCAAGAGACAATACAGAGAGACGATTTTGACCTAACCCTTTTAAAATAACAATTACTGGGATAGTTTTTCCAGTAGAATTTACAATGTCCGGGTGCAAGGGTGACACACCTTACACGATAATCGAGCTGGTGTCATCATTACTATTTATAGCCGCAGTTTGACGAATGTTGCGGTTATAAAATATTCTGTTATTCATTCGCCATAGATAGTATTAATAAATGTACTTGCAACAATATCGAGAGCTATTTTAGATTTCTAAAAGTGTGTTTTGTATTTTAAATATAATAACAATGAAGAAACCGGAAAATTATGCAACTGATTTTTAAATGATAAAACTTCAATATGCGATATATTTAGGCACGTGTACTTAAAGAAGTCGCGGAGGTCAAAAGTATTTTAAGTATCCAAGTGTTATGCAAAGTAATTTTTGTACGTTTGTATGTTCAACGTGTAAAGAAACGAATATGTAAGGAATAACAAAATAAGTTTTATCTTCATAACCATTATTTACATAATAAAAATAGAATAAACAAATCACAGAGATTATCAATACGAAAAACACCTCATATGTGGTATTATCTGGTTTTTCAGAAAACACAAAAAACAAAATTTCCAATGATCTGGCTAACAACATTTAGGTTTGTAAAACCATACATCTTTTCTTGAAAAAAAAAATTCTGAGTAAAATTATAATAATTATTATGTAAACATTTAAATATTTATTAATGCGTTGACAAAATTATTCATCTCATTGGAAGTATTCTAAAAAACGATTTTTATAGTAGGTAACAAATAAGAAGTTTTATTTTTGATTTATTCTACAATTAAAAAACACTACTGAAGATTTATGAAGATTTATTAATGACATATGTTTTGTCTGAATCCAGGAGTACCAAATACTAGTTAAAAACTAATTAATCGTTCATTCGGCACGTTTTACACTATGAGGTTATTTTATGTCCACGACGATATGCCGTTTGTTTGAAAACTGTATTTTAAGTATGAAGTTTAACAACATGTGTTTATAATTTTCAGAAAGATAAATTAAACTTCTCGCTTTCATTGCCAATCGATGTCGATTAATGAACATTTATTAACTGTCAATAATAATACATAGTATTTCTCTCTAGAACAATATTTTATTGCCTTTCTTTTAAACCTATGTTGTACAAGTCACTCATCGAACAAGAGTTGGGCAAAATTTAATTAAATAACAAATAACGATTAATCAAATCGAAAAATGTACGAAATAAAAAGAGAATATTTTTTCAATACAAATATTTAAGACATTTTTTTATTAAAATCATAATTTGTTCAAAAAATAATAATTGCTAACTCTGTCTCCTAAGAAATTATAAAAGCGATATCATTTATACACTAATTACTCAGCTAAGTACGCCTAATAATTTTGTACTTTTTGAGTATACACATCAAAGTAAATTACAATTAGTTAATGTTAATATTCCAATCTGGTAAAACTGTCAATCTTTCGACACTCCAGTCTGGTCTATTGTTATTTCAACTGCACAAATATGTATTCATTACAATGTTAAAGTATGAATTTGATTCTCTGGCATTTCACATGAGCTGCTATGTTCGTATTTTGTTGTAATCGAATGACTAATTTTATCGAATGGATTACAAAACAATATAAATTTACTATAAACAAATATATTAACTTATAACTTTTATAGTTACATATTTTCCCTTTTTTATAAATATTTCAGTTATGTGTAGTATATTGCAACGCAAATTGCTTTCAGTGGGGCCTCGCCTTAATACTTTGTTGTTCAGTTCCAATAATCATAGTCGCAATTAGGAGGTATTAGCTCCCTCGATTTTAACATAAGCACCCTCTTATATTTTTCCTGTTTATGTATTAATACCTCTGTAAAAAAAACTCAAAAGCTTTTTGCAGAGTTCATAACAGTACTTATTATTCAGTATTATTTATCAAGTTCATCTGGCTATTACAGCTTTTGTATAAAATACCTGTAAATTGTGTTATTGCATACAGTTTTATTATTTTTTGTTATAAAATAAAAATGCTTATAAACTAAAGTGTCAACTGTTAAATTTATAAAAAAAACCATTAACCTCATGAAAAATGCAGAGCTTAAACACCCTCAATTTTTGTATTGAAATTGCGCCTATGATAACAATACTATTCTATTGTTCACAGTGTTTGACTTCAGGGGTGTTGGAGGACGCACGGGTACTAAGTTCCTCAACTAATGTTTAAGGTATTTTACACCTTCTTTTTTTAAATAAAACAGTTTAAAAAAAATAAAATGTAAGTGTAAAAAAGTGATTTGTTTTCGATTGTTTTTTAAATTTTTATACCAACACATGCGTTATGATTAACCGGATTAAACACTTTCTTAGATATCTAAAAATCGCAATTAGCACACAATTTAATAAGTTATATATATTTTTATTTTCATATACATAAAAATCGCTAGCCACAAATGGTCATTGTCACTGATGGGCTCGCTGAACTATTTCTGACTAATTGTGTCTAGCCCACGATGTTATTTTTACACTCTGGACACGTAGGATGGACTTGTCGGGGCTCCACGTCGGTTCCCAGTGGTTCTTGTCTCTGTGGAAATTGACCAGAGCCTGAAACGAGTATTTTCCATTAAAGACCCCTGAAACCAATTATAAAAATATAATCGTCATACTTTAGTGTCGAAGTTCTTCCAAGGTTTCAAATGGCCGTTACTCAAACAACCGTCGGGGAATCTGGTCATGCCGCCTACTGATAAGCCGATGGAGACGTAAAACTGTTGATAACAAATCCAATTAGTGTTTGATATGCATATAATTTATTGTTTTAGAAGAAGCCGAGTAGATAATTTACTTCTGATTCGTTTATGACTTCCAGCGGCACCTCGGAAATGTCAATGGGCCATTTTTCACCGTCGATTTCGTACTCCATACTTGTCTGGGTCCAGGTCAACACAAACGTGTGGAAACCAACGGACCAAGATTTTGGCGAAATGGCTTTGGATAGTTTCGATTTTACGGATCGGTTTGTATCGTCAAATTGTATTCCGTACTTCAAGACGAACGAACTCTCATCGTTGGATCCGCAACGCAAGTTGGCGTTGCCAGTCGTCGAGGCCAATACGATCTTCAACTGTTCGTTGCTCTTGCTGACCAATGCGATTTCTGGAGAATGAAAAAGTGAGGTATCAATTAGCAATACCTAACGCATTGTACGACAGACAGAAAAGTTGCGCTGACACGATTGGCTTTAGCGGATTTAAATTTTGTGTTAGAGAGTCTACAATGTTTAATAAATAGAAACAGCGGCGCAGCGTCCTAGCAGAGCAGTAAAATGTATTTATGATTTTTTTTTAACGACTGTTCTGTTAAATCAACATTAAAAGCGACATTTTAAGGGGTAATTGTTGATAACAGTAAGTATAGTGTCTACAGAGCTGATACGACCCTAGACGTATAGAGTAAAAGTGTACTACGAAAGAGAAGATCATTAAAACCCCTATCAAGGTCCACGTATAAAATTGGCTAGCCTTTAGGTAAACTTTTTTTTTTACGCATATGAATGTTTTTTTGTGCAAAAATTTGCATCATCGAAAACGATCGAAGCCTTTATCAAAACAAAACTAGATTATTGATAAGGGATCATTCATAAGGGATATCAATATAAGACTTTAGTGATAATGGATAACCGCTAAAAGGATGAATTTAAGGATCGACTGATAAGAGCTTAATAATAAGAGATAACTCGTCTGTTCGGATCTCAAACACAATAAATCCTTTTTTGATCATTTTTCGAAAGGACCATTGTTCTAAATAATATCAGGTCCGATAACATACAAATTCTCGTAATTGATTGACACCAATTCCAAACATAACGATTAGATTTCAATAAAAGTAAGAAAATAGACTCCGAGTAAAACAATAAGAAATAGTTCAGGCAGCAGAGCCTTAGAAGTGCGCATACAAAAACACGCGAAAGATGTGACTACAGAAGAACGCAGAATCGACAGCAGAGCATACAGACCAAAAACGCCATAATATTAAATTTGAATAAATTGAAATTGTCTTCATAGAAACCCATTACGCAAAAAGAACAGTAAGACAAGCCATCGAAGTAGAAAAGTGCCCACTAAATTCATATAAGATTGATAGAAACTCAGTAAGACGTGGAAACTAGGAAAAATCCAACTAAAAAGAAACCCAGAGAAATACAGCGGTTAATGTGTGTTTTATTTTACGTTTTATAGTAGTACCAACGGGAAGTCCATACCTGGGACGATCCAGTCTCCCGACGGTAAGTTAGCCGTCACTTCCACTTTGCCATAAATAAATAAAAACGAGTTCCTCGTAGTCAGTTTGGCCGAAACTACTGGAGGCAAGATGTTATAAGTTGATGCGTTCTCGGTACACACTCCGGTCACTTCGGGTTTCGTGCAACTACATCATAACATGCATATTTATGTTTAATTATGAGCCAGTCAAAGCAAACGTACCCCTTCAACGTGACGCTACCCCTCTTCACGGTGTTGTCCGGCAGCAGAGTGGGTCTGATGAATAGCTCTCCGTTTTTTATATATATATTTTTGTCGGAGTTATTGTAAATGACGAACTCGAAGTTCTTTTATGTAACAACAAATCGACACAACAATAACAATTAGTATAATTCGCCACGCTCGCTAACACATTGTAAACGGCATAAATCGAATTCCGTACCGGTTCGTAGTCGTTGGCCAAGTAAATTTCATGATTCCAAAGCGACTCTAAGTTCAGAGTGTCGAATTCTTCTTGTACCAAAATCGACCCCGGGGTGCTTTCGTCCACGAGTAATGAATCTAGGCACAAGACAAAGTATAAAATCACCCTATTGTCCGAGTACGCAGAAAACGGTATATATTCTGTTATACCTCTGAGGTCGTAGATTTGTAATCTGTCGCTATCGCCACACGTTTGAGTGTCGTCGCCCGAACACACGACACTGCATTCCGAGTAGTCTACTTCGTTTTCGTTGGACGGTATTTCATTGTCGCAAAAACAATTGAATCTACACAAAATATATAAAAGAAAAACATAAGAAACAAAACAAATGTACCGAAGATCACGTATGTTAAGGCGTAAACCATTGAAGACGATCAAATGTTTAGTCTTACTCGCAGTAATGCCAAATCTGGGTACATTTTATTTAATGATTATTTTTTTATTTAAATAATTTTAAAAAAATGAGTTCTTTGAAACAATTTAACATGGATATGTTTTTAGCCCAGGATCAATCTAAAATTCCCGAAATATCTTACGGAAATTTAATCTAGTAACATGGTTGTTATTATAATAATAATATTTACTCCTTTTCTCGGTTTATTTACTCGATTTTATTCAACCTTGTACTGTACTTGTATTATATTTCAATTTTTCGCGATGGAAATAAATGTAAATCAAAATTTAATTTTTTTTTATATATAATGTAATGTATTGCATTGTATCATAATAATCATGTAAAAACATTTAATCGTGGTGATTAATGATTATGTATTTCCGTAATGCTAAAACATAATTTTATTGATGATTCAATGCTTTTCTGTTGATAGGAGAAAATAGACGTATTTTTTGTACTTAAAATACTATTATAAATCATAATTCTCTTCGATTATTAGTAACTTTAAATACTATATTTATATAGATTTTAATTTGACCTTAACTTGGCAAGGGCTTACTTTTAAATATCAAAAATAATTAAAATAATAGTACATTTTAGGTTGGCCACGGAAAGAGTTGTAAATAAAATATATTATGTACCTTTGAAGACACAATGCCAAGTTAAGGGACAAAAAGTTTCGCTTTAAAAGTTTGCCACTCGGGCCGGTCTCCCCTAAACGCGCCACTCATTACTTGGAAATTCCCGCATAACGGAAGCCCGCATCGTGGCAAAGTCTCGCACATCTGCCAGGTGTGTTTGTGTTTATCAGCTCGAACTTGACGTCGTTCATGACGTCACTCTGCGTTGTGTAACATCCCACTTTCCTATTCAAGACGTCAAAGTCTACAAGCAAAAAAAAGCACGTTTATGGAAGTTGGGCAACGTGGGTGGATGGGTGACATGGGAAAATCATACTGGAAACTACACCTTTTAACCCGGTAGCGAACACACCCATCCTCCATCCGCCGCCGCAATATTGATTGGCGTCTCCCGAACACTTGGTGTTGCACTGGCTGTCTTCTACTTTGGTAAATCTGACAGTGTTCGGCGAGTGGCTGCCGCAGAAACATTCGGATTTGTACGTGACGCCCGCGTATCCGAATCCCATTTTGTAACAGAGCTTCGTGCAAAACGCCGGCGTGTTCACCATATACGACCGGGAAAACCCGTTGAATATTCGGTTTTCGGCGGTCTCTTCGTAACAGCCCAAATAGTAGTTGCCCACCTCGGTGGTCGGCCATTTCAAACCAGTGCTGTACACGTCGATGACGTTTTTACCGCCGCACTTTGCGGTTGCATCACCGGAACACGGAGTGTTGCATTCGTCGTCGGAGTCGGTCTTTGCCTCGTCCGAAGGCTTAGTAAAGCTGCACATACACTCGGTTCTGTCGAATATTCGTATTATGTGTTCAATGAGATACAATTCTGACATTAGTAATGGCCCATAGTATTACGCAAGATGTATCATCTTAAAAATACATGTCCCTCTTATAAGGGAATATATTTTTGAACATAAGTTCAAAACTTATGATTTTACATATTTTTTTTTTTAATTCAGAAATTTATCATAACAAAACATAAATATTTAGGCTAATAATGTTTATTAATAAAGCCTTTCTTATTGAAAAAAACATAAATAATGCCACGACAATTCCTGCTAAGTCCTCGTACAAACTTGTATAATACTCGACAGTGATATTATTGTTTATTGCTGATGGCAAACTAGTTAAATATGAAATTGTTGTCAAACGATTATTTTTTGATATTTGACAAAGAATAAATGTTGTCAAATATTGTTTTTGATTTCTATTTAACATAAAAAACTATATTCTTATTCGAAAAGCGCAGGGTCATATTTCCCATTAGGCACGGAAGAACAGCTATATCAATTAAGTCAAATAGAAAATTAATATAAAAAACCACTGATGTTTTTTAATACGCTCTGAAGTTGCTATGTGCTCTTTAAAAATAATAGGGTTGAAAATTGAACTATGATAGCAACTTTTATGGGTCAGCTGTGTTGGGAAAAATTAAATATTATTTTCGTGGCGGCTACCATTTCAAAAAAAAAAAACCAGTATTATTACTCAATCGAGTGATTCCTAATGGTAGTATAGTAAAATTATAGTTAACGGGGAAAACAATTTTGGGAAGATATTTTTTATTTGTATTTAATTTATGGGAAGGGGCACCCAAAGATATTTTACCTTATGGTTCAAAATGTCTAAATCACGGCCTTGTTCAAAAGAGCAATTTATTACCAATTCAATTTCTACCCGCCTCAGATTGAGATATTTAGTCGGGCAAGTGAAAATGTTGAACTTACGATGACACAAGTGCGGCGTACGGAAACCTCCTGGCATAACAGCTGCGCACGCATTGCCTAACCGTAAGACTGCGATCGTTTATACGCCAACCGTCCATTGTCGGGTGTCTCCTGGGATTCTTAAAGCACCCGTGTGGCTTTGCATGTACGAGTCCGGTGTTTTCTTTAGAGCAACGAAAAATTTAAAAATGAACAAGACAGTTAAGTGGAAATCATACGAGGGATATTAAATAAATACCGTCATATAAGGTTTTGTAGACGCTTAACACGTTCTGTCCGCCGCAGTAGTCTGAAGGGTTTTCTAAGCATACCGTATTGCAAGCACCGTGATCTCTTTTCAACGAGTAATTCACTTCGTTGTGTCTGCATTCGCACACGTTGCTTAAACATAAAACGATCGCAATACCGCGTTTAAACCGACAGTCGGTATACTCTTTATTGTATTTGAAATACAACTTTGTAAGACTTTTCAGTATGTATTTTGTGTAACAAATACGTGTGTTTTAAATTAGGTTAAAAATAAAATACTGTATTTTGCCCATTCATAAATGTATTTCCTACATACCCTTTGAGCAAGGCGTATTTGTACCGTTCAATGTTACAAAGGTTCATGCATCGCTTCGGACTGTTGTTGGTTCCCATTTGAAAAGTCAAAATACCATTTTTGTGTTTGACCGGTTCGTCGGCGAAACATCCCTCATATTTGGTAGCAACGTATTCTACAAACACAACCCTAACATAGTGTTAACAAAAAAAAAATCACCTTATATCGCTAGAATTGATTTTGTTTTTAACTGACGAGTCATTCCAGTCGAGTATACACCAGTCTTCCAACCTCCACCGCAAAATTGTCTACTATCGCCACTGCAAGGTACATTACAATTCGAGTTTTCGACCATTGACGATTTCGAAGGTCTCTGATTTCCACACCAACACTCCGACCTGGGAACTCGTTTCGGTGAGTATTTGGTGTAATAAACACAAGAGGTAGCGATTTATAAGTACATACCCGTATGTAACGCCGGCGTATACATAACCCATCTTGAAACATATTTCTGAACATTTCTGTGGAGTGTTATTGTTGTATGGTTGAGCTGGTCCTTTGAGCAATCTGTTCTCGGGATCATTAGCGTTTTCGGCGTAACACCCTAAGTAAATTGCCGTTGGATATCCACCGCGGCTTATAAAATTACCATTTTCTGTCAAACATATACAACCGATTATTGGGTAAGTATAAACAATAAAATTAATTCAGAATTGTCTCAGAGCTGGCAAAAGAAACTATTTTTATTGATTAGCTTATGTTAAGTTAATTTAAAAAAAAAAAACACTGTTCATCATCATCATCGTCATCATCATCATTAGCTTAACATACCAACCCATTGTAAAACCGATGACAATGAGCGTTCAATACACTCCCCCTTGACCGACTAGGCCTTTTCAAAAATTATGAAATAAGAAACTCATTACTCCCTCCCTTTTCAATTAAAATTAAACACAGTGTTTTAATTTTTACAAAAATTGTTTTTATTAACCCGAAAAACCCCGAAAACCTATAAAAGTTTAAAAATACCTTCGTATAGGAAATACATTACACAGGGTGTAATGCGTTCACAAAAACAGCTGAGAACATTATTAATGGACCGAATAACTTAAATTTTAAGTTTGTGGTAAGAACAACACTTTATATTTTTTCTGCTCAAAAATTAAGGACTAAACGACAATATTAGGATATAATATATAGACTACATAACATAAAAGGGACAAACATTTACGATATGCTCTATATACAACGGTTTGTAACATGACGTGGAAAATTATACAAAAAGTTAATGCTGTGAGGAATATTGAAGTTGCTAAAAATTTTTCTAAATTTTGACTCATAAATAAATAATAATAAGTATTTTGTAATTGACTCTTTTATGTCAATTTTCAATTAATATAGTTATGTATAGCACGGAGTCTTACTTGAATTATCTGTTAAATAAGAAGATATTAAATTTGGAAAGGCTCCGCAAGAAGCCCATGGCTCTCCTGCACAAGATATTGTGCATTCCTTATCATATTGTTTCATCAGTCTAGAAATGTAAGATTTGCTACAATAGCAGGTGCTAAAAAAAAAAAATAAAGTAAGTATATTAAAGTTTCAACAATACGAGAAAATAAAAAAAGTATATAAATACATTCTTTGCAAAATATTTTTTGTAAGAATTAAATATTTAAATAATACACCAGACTACAATTTGAACGTTTCATTGGTTTCCACTTCCGAACATAATTTATCAGTTACACTAGTAAGTAGTAACTTAATAATTTTTTTCATTGAGAGTGTTTTTTCACTGTGAATCTGATGGCAAAATGGTTAACAAATAGCTTGACACATTATTTTTTAAACAGCATGTATTTGTATTGACTATTGTGTAGTTTTTGATAAAATCAGAATTTACCTATTGTGGTTACTAACAGTGACCTGTGGTTAATAGCACGGTATTCGGATCGAACCTTTAATTAAAATGCTCATAACATACAAATATACAATGATACAATTATATAAGTTTGTCAATGGGAACCCCTTGAATGAATAAATCAACAGGTTACAGGATAGGTATTTGATCTGATTTCACCTAAAAATTCACAATGAAAATAGAACTTTATTCAAATTAAAATAAATTGTTGAAAGGCCAACATTTTCAAACATCTTATGAGATTAATTCAAAATAAAAAAAATAACCCAAAAGTAGTTTTAAGTGATGCTTGCAACATAGTTTTTGACGTAAAATATAAACAAGTTGAATAAAAATGTTTTCGATAAAACAATTTTTACCCATTTTGACACTTAACAAAATTTAAAGCGTTTGCTTGAGCTTTGAGTTGATTTGATTGCTTTTTTTTTATACTAAAATTCAAAAAGTAAGTGCGGGTGACAATCTCAGATTGCATCATCAGATTCAGGGGGTTTGAGTTAGCTTAATAGTTGATTGCTATTTTTTTTGGACTACAACTCAAAAAGTAAGTATGGGTAGCCAATTAAAATAATTGCACCATCAGATTCAGAGTACAACAACATACATTTTGAAGAAGGGGAATCGAAACAATGGCATGGGTACTAAACTGCGTTAGTTCCAAACTGTTTGAACAACAACGTTGTTAAAGGTCAGTAACAAAGGTATAAATATCGGGTTCTTACTCGTTTTTGATAGCAGCGAACAGATAAGAATTTCCGTGACAGAATCCTGTGCATGATTTAGGTGAAATCGATGACAAAACCCGACTTTCCTCTCCTAACGATACTAAATTGTCATCCCGGTAACATCCCAAATAAGTTGGAGTGACTGTCTGTGAAACTGCAACGAATAAACGGCGTAGATGCTTCGATATTATTTTTTTCGATAAAAAATTTGTTTAAAATTATACATTTAATTATATACGATTACCTATTAATGTGACGATGCTAAAAATAAAAAACATTAAACTCATCATTATTAACCTATGATTAAACGAAAAACATTTTATACTATCGTACGTCTTGTATAATTAAACTCTAGTTTGTAACTAATGAGTGGCCACATATTATTCAGTAGGTATTTACCGACTATTTAGTATTATTACAATACCGGTTTACCAAGCAAATTCCCACCATTCCCAATACTCGAAGAGAAGATGTTATTTACACACAATAATAATATTATAATCGCAATTCCCTACCATAACATTAACTTTTCTATGATCCTGATGTTTAAGATCAAGGATCATTCCATAGGTTATAAATAATATGTTTAAATGATAAAAACATTTTGTCAGTTTCTGTTAAACCGTGCAAATATTCATAATAAAAGATTGTTTTTAATTATTTTTATCGCGTTTATTATTAATTATTAGCTTATAGCATTGTTATTTGTTGATATTCGTATTTGTAGTAGGTAGGTACTGTTACTTTTACAATTGATCACACTGTACAACAAAATTTTACCTTTTTTTTGAACAAGAACCGAAATACATCAATTTATTTTTCGTTGGATCCCTATTTGACCTCAGATATTTTTCTAGCACATTTAGTTGATTTTAAAAATCGTCTTATAAGTTGTAAGTAAATATCATATTGTGGTATTTTCCATTTGAGGCGTCAAGAACACAAGGGGTATAAGTGACATTTTCGTTTGGAGGTTAGGTGATTTGCTACCAGATCGCAGCAAATGATGAATAATTCACTTATTATCATTACCACCAATTAAAGTGGACAACTTGTAGTTAAGCTGTGGTCTGTGGACTTAACTTAGATTTTGTAAAAATGTCACTTATTACCCCCTGTGTTCTAGGCGCTTCATTTGTTCTGTATCATTTGGTTACATTTCTAAATTTATTTGAAATGGGTTTTTTTGTTATATTTTCTTGACTGAATCGGCAGATATGACTAAATGTTTAATGATGAAAAATTTGTAACGTCTCATATAAACAAGAATCTTGAATAGTCTGGAAAACAAATGTTCTATAAATAAGAAAATTATTACAGTCGTTAAAAAGTAAGCGGTGTTCTATTAATGATTTATTTCTATTAAATTTAAAACTGATCTTAAGAGTTTTTTTAAATCATATTAAAAATGACTTTTATATTGAATTACTAAACATTATGAAGGAAATATTCATAAAAACAAAAATCTGTTTGTGTAATATAAAAGTAATTTCCTCAATAAACAATAAATATATTAAAAGTACAAATGTACTTAGTAAATAAGTCATATTTGTAATTGTAAGGTTTTTATACTGACAATTCGATTACAATTTGAACCATTTACTTGGTTAGGCATAGTTGAGCATCATTTGAATAAAATTATATTTAAATAAATTAATAAATAAGAGAAATATATTGATTAGTAGATTTTTTTCTTTTTGTAATAAAAAAAGAACTTTTATAAGTAAGAATAATTTATTTATTATTCATTCTAAATTCAATAACTGTGAATATTATCTAATTTTTCAATTTAAAATTGTTTTAGTTCAGTAAATTGTATACAATGATTTTCCATAAATGTTCTACCTTCTCACAACAGCGGAAAATTGTTTAAAATCATGTAAAATTTGCTTTTCATGTTCCACTCATTACTGACATTTTTTAAATGTTGTTCAATACAGATTAGAGTTACTGTTTACATGTAGTACATTAAAAGTGTTCGTAATTTTTTAAACCTCGATTTCAAAAACTGTGCAAGAAAATATCACGCATGTACATAATATAAAATTTAGTCTATACGTGTATAAGTTAAGTACTAATGCGCTCTCGTGGATAAACGGTGAAGCTGTTATTTTTTATAACGTTTTTATGAACTCATTTATCATTGAGGTTATGGCAAAATGTTTAATTTCAAATAATACAAACAACTACTATCTCCAATTGTCCGTCTTGACTCTTGAATAGTTGAGACTTGAGTCTAGCTATTGTTAACTGTTAAATATTATTGGGTTTATTGGTATTTGCGAATTATTTTTCTAATCACATCTATGGTCACTAATAAGATGCCAGAAGGCGAATCCGAGGTAAGACCTTTATTGTCTAAATTAATATCAACCATGTTCTTGGAAACAATACAAATAGTTTATGTTGTTATTTTAAATTAAAAGGTTTAATAATGGCCAAATTATGATTTTAATATTTATTTTATTTCTAGCCAGCCAATAACACGTTAATAACCATAAAAGAACCGGTTGATTTGATTCGACTAAGCGTTGATGAACGTATTTATGTGAAAATGCGTCATGATCGTGAACTACGTGGTCGTCTTCATGTAAGTTAAATAAATATAAGCTATCGCTAATAATTTGTTTAATCACTTATTTTTTTTTAAATAAATAAAATGTTATGTTTATAATATTACATTGAAAACCCAGGTTACATTATAAACCCATTTTTAGGCTTTTGATCAACATTTAAATATGGTGCTTGGAGAAGCCGAAGAGACTATCACTACTGTTGAAGTAGATGAAGAAACTTTTGAAGAAGTATACAAAACTACCAAACGAACAATACCAATGTTGTTTGTTAGAGGAGACGGCGTTATACTTGTTTCTCCACCATCGACTGCATCTTAATAATAATTTTCCTGTTCATTTCTAATGTTATTACTTTAATATTAAGATTATTTTAATACCATTGTAGGTATTCATTACTGAAATAAAACTTTTGTTAAATTATGAAGTATTAAAAGTCACTTAAAAACGTAATAAAATGTTTTCAAGTCGACATTTTTTTAATGCATTCTTGTCTAAATCATTTTTCAACATTTCTTTTATAAAAGCTTCTATCTTTATAAACTATTTAGAAAATAATAAGAATTAATTGAAAATATATTGCACATACTACAAATAGTCTACACTATTATAATCACATTTATGTAACTGGCAGAAGTAAAACTACTGTGAAATAAAATATTTAAAAAAAATGTGAAATTGATGTGCGAACATTGTGCTTTTATACGATAAGAAAAAAGCATGCCATTGTTATTTTTTTAAAACTTATCTTGAAAAAATATATACGGTTCTGAAAAAATTATTATATTATTATTTAAATAAAATATTATAAAACAAAGATACCGATGATAAAAAAATAATTTAGTGGCAATTCAATTTTGTTTTTTATACATAATATTCTATTTGACGCTGAAAATTCTTTAAAAAAATATGTTAGTTTTTGCCAGTTATGTCACTTTCAAAAAATTATTGATATTAAGTTTTTGTGTGTAACTACTAAAGTAAGACTTTTTGACAAAATCTGTGACTCGCCATCACTCGGCATTTTAAAATGCATATTATTATATTTTTTTTATAAAAAATTGTTTAAATTAAATTATTGCTTAAATAGTTATATACCCTGTATAGAAATAATGTAGAAACAAAAGTTGTCAATAACTAATGCTGAAAAAAAAAACTTATTGTAAGCGAATTAGTCTATTTTTTATTTTTCATATTCTGTTTGAACTTTTTACTAGCTTTCTAGCAAATTAATTAAAATTAGATTTATGCCTACATATTTTCAAGTTATACAAAAAAGAAAGTTCAAAGACGTTTTATGCCTTGTGTCTGAAATAACATTTTCGAAGTATAAAAATTTGATATTTTTGTTCAAGAAGTATTGAAAACCCTTTTTTAATTTATCAAGAATCGTAGTGTATTTGACTATTCACTATATACCTATTCATAGTAAATTAACTTTTTTCAGTTGTATTTATGAAACGTTTTTGCTTTGTATGTATAACGAAATCAATCGACAATACATACTTTTTTAGCGGTCAAATTTGATATCTTTTTTTTATAAACATTAAATTAGCATTTATTCTTTATATTGGTGTTCGCTATTGATAGTAAAATTGAAGAATAAAGACATAAATATTAAAAAAGAAAAATCATGTTGAAAAAGAAAAACTATGAAGCGATACAGGCAAACTTACAATTTTCATCTGAGGCCTGAGGGTGTTATACCTACAAAAAAAAAATTACCTAGCTCCCTCATAGAAGACCAAAAATGTTGAACCCAACCATGTATTTATCTTTAGCATAATACTGGTACCAGGGTAATAGTTTGTTTACCTACATTGTCTGTTGTTTTCAAATTTCAATCGGACAACATTTATTTTGTTTCAATTTTTAAGTTTGCTCATAAATAAAAAAAACAAATTATTCAAAAACGTTGTTGCTTGTTAGGTGAAAAAAATTATTAAAATGTCCGTTGTTATATTTTTAAAATAAAAATATAACATTTTACCTAATATTGTAATGAATTTTTTTTTTTGCTTTGTGACATTTCGTTAAAAACTTGTTCGTTAATAAAAGGAGTTATTTATTTAACAAAAAAATTATTAATAATATTTGTATAAAGTTAAAGTCTCTGGGGGAGTGTGATATATCACCCTGAAGCCTGTTCACTCCTTGTAAATACGCCACTGCAGCGATGAGAGTTGACAGGGAAAATATTATCTCCACCGGCAACGGCGCAGCGGGAGTTTGCGCGGCAACAGTTTTTCTCTTCCATGAATCCACCGTGAGTGGGACTGTATTACCGTACGCCATTTGTTGGTACCTCGTATACTACCACGATCACGTCGTCGCTTCAGTGTGATAATCGATGGTATCGAACGTTTTCCGCTTCTCGAGTCCTTGAGTGTGTTTATTAGAATAAAATAATATATACGCTACGATTATTCAACACTGCGTACGCCTTTATTTAGTGCGGACTCGTTGCGAATTCGGGCTCTGTGCTGTCCTTGCGACCGTCTAAATATCGGCCCCCATGATTTATCTGGACGACGGTAACGCATACGAAGCCACCTATCCGTTGCAGATACCGCCATGGACGTATCTCGGTGACCGACGTAAGCAATAGGCGTCAATCCCGTTGTATCACTGTTAGATGACACTTTTGGTAAGCTAATAATAACCACCCAACAAGTATAACTGTCGTAAGTTTTGCCCGTGTCCCGTCGTCATCGGTAGTAAAATGCCGTTGTCGACCGTAGCCGGACAGACGGACGAATGCTTTACGCAAAGAGCCATAACCTTAACAGAGTTCAACCTTTATTTGCATTTTCCTTTTCACTAGACCAAAATGGACAGCTTTTTAGAGTTAACTTAAATAAACAATGTGTTAGGATCAACCCCACCCTTATTTCTTATAGTTTTAACGCCATAACGATACCGGCTATCTCCGTTAAAAAAATGTAATATGACATCATTTATTTGTTAACACTAATGGGAAACGCCCTCTGATATGTAAATTGTCTGCAGTATTTCTATCAAATTTTTTGTTTGCTATTTTAGTGATAAGTCATCGTAACGCAATTCTTGGGAAATTGTCAGAATAAGTTGGGCAAATATTATGTATCTAGGTACTGTCAATAACTGATGTCTTCATTACGTTATATATCCTTACAATCGATAATTTCTTCTATTGTTAAATGCAATTAGCAATTGTTTTCTTTCATAATCTCAAAATGTACCTAGTTGTATTATACGAGTAATTTGTTGTCATATTTATCTATCTAAACATCTATCTATTGAATAAAAAACTATGTCTATTGAGGTTTTACAAAGGTTATATATAGTAGTGATATAATTTGCAAATCTGTGTATCGAGTTAATAGAATTTTATTAAACGTAGGCTTATCAATTGTATCTACATATTATTTCTTAAGGTCATTCAAGTTGTAACCGTAATAATTGCTTCTATATATTTTTTAATTGTTACTAATGTATAATGAATTAGTCATTGTTGTTTTAATTGTTATATATGTATTATGCATTTCTTTCTTGATAACTAATAGTCTAGCTAATGTACTCAGTAGTACCATACTCTTTAATAATAATCTGTAGATAATAATATTACGCACAATCACTGTGAGAGTTTTATACTTATCATTTATTTTTAATTTCCTTTGCAATAGTTGTAACATACTTTTGTCTTATCAAAATGTAATACTTGATTATGACGTATTTTATAAATGGCATATAAATTGTATGCTAGTTATACCTTAAGGCTTAGCAATTTAGTATAAAACATTTGTTTGATTATTGGCCATAGCTGTTGTTACTAAAGTATCAACATACTTCCCCTATGTAGATACGTTAATATTTGAAAACTGTTATTTAATTGACCCTCATCATTGTTAGATGTGAATCATCTCGTGATACACATTAAATTGATAAATTGGTAATAATACATTTTGTCTATGTGACCCTCGTAAAAACTTAATTCTCGGTTTGTTAGTGTTCATTGATGGAGCATTCATATATTTTTTATTAGTATACATTTTTCTATGAAAATAAAATATCATTTACTATGATCACATAACGGCTTTTCATAAGAGTATAATGTGTTTGAGGTGTTTTAATTTAATATATATATTAAACTGTATAATTACAATGTCAAACAAATAGATACATCAGCAAAATATAAACGTCATTTATCTTGATCCGAGTATCATATTATGTATATCGTAATAATATTATACAGATTTATTATAAATGGGTCATCATAAAATGTAAAACTGTATTTTTTCTTTTGATAAAATTACTGCAGTTATATATACCTCAGCACTTAATTGCATACTAATATAACATTATGTAAATTTATCAAATTATTTTATGTAGTTGCTATTATTTATATATTATTCTATAACTGCTTTTTATTAATTTTTTTTTATACAATATTTTATATTTTAAGTAAATTTTTAATGAACTCTGTTAATCTAGAAAATAATAAAATGATGATAAAATTCATTTAGGCAACGCCAACAAATACATATTTTTTCCCCTGACATAATGCAACGCCTTCTATTTCTAGGTCTTTAAATTATGAAAAACTAAGTTACTTTCATAAAATTATTATTTTATTTAAAAAAAAAAAATATTGTAAACATTGCTTTGTAAACATATGAGTTATACTTAAGGTAATAAATATATTTGAAATATTTGTGCAATAAAATATAAAAATTATTATCATTAATCAATATGTAAAAAAAAAAAAAATTAAAAAATACTTATTTGACATATTTTCCTATAGTTAGATGTTTATATTCCATTTTTTTGTATCAACTGTTTTTACCATTTTATTATTGTGTTTTATTTACAGTTGGAATTTAATAACAAACTTGCCTAACAGGTTTTTAAGGTATTAAATATAAAATACCTAATGTGGCTGTCTAGAATAAGTTATTAATATTACTATTACCGTTGGTCAATGAATTATTTAAATTATTATTTGAGTGTTTTTTTTTAATATTAAGCATAATTAATTACTGATTTTATATACCACTAATTGATAAATATAAAAATTCAAATTTAGTAGTTAAAGTAATGTGTTAACATTTTTGTTTAATTAAATAAAGTATTGCCAAATCTGAGATTTAATTAAAACAAATTACAATAAAAAAGTCAAATGCTGTGGCGGCTCATGGTTGTTCCGACAAAGGAGTACTATAAAATAAGCTGATTGTGTGTATTTATTGTATATTCAACGAGTAGTAACAATAATAACAATTCATATTAATTATAGCACAGCATGGTTGAGCTCTAATTATTGCAACATTCATTGATACATCTCTGAGTTAACTTACGATGGTGTTTTGATTTAATACTTAATTTATACTACAAAAAATAAGTACATTTTTTCTGCATAAAACAAAAAATTACTTTTATTCTTAAAAAATGTATGATTTCATTTATGTTTTTCATTTGATAATGTTTATTCTATGTTTTTTTTTTCCATTTGTTATCGTAAACTAGTTGTTGTATTGTTATAATCATCTTATTACAGATTGGATAAACTATGCCTTTGCCAAAACGTGTTGTCGAACCAGTGCATGTGACGCGCAACACGGTTTCACAGGCAGGAAGTTACGGCCCAACGTGTTCTGTGCCCAATGAACTTGAAGCTGTTACAAATGGCACCCTCGCCAACACTGTTCGACAGTTGTCCAGTTTATCAAAACAGGCTGAAGATATGTTTGGAGAACTCGTTCGCGAAGCTCATACACTCACTGTACGGGTCAACTCGTTACAAATTAGGTTAGATAGATTGTCAGTCAACACAAAACAGCTGGATAGTACTGGCGAAGAAGGTAATGCATAATTTTTGAGCAAAAATCGTAAATTTTTCACAAAAAAAAAAAAATAAATAGTGATAATGTTACTTACTAAAATAATTTATTCGGTATTTAGTTTCGCTTCAAGACATTCATATGAGAAAAGCTTTCAAGAGTGCTATTGTTTTTGATCAACAAGTAGTTTCAAGAGATACAATGCCGGCGCCAATGCTTGAAATGTATTCTCAATGCGATAAACCTCCGCCGCTTTATAAACTCAACCCGTACAGGTTGGTTGGATGTGTATATTAATTATAAAAGACATGATGCTATTGAGATTTTTACGTTTTCAGAGAGGACGGTAAAGACGGAATGAAATTCTATACAGACCCGGATTACTTCTTCAATTTATGGAGATTAGAAATGCTTAAAGATACGGAAAAAATGATGCACGATCGTGGCAAAAAGGTATGATAATACCTTTACCTAAATTTCACTTAACAAATTGAAATAAAAATGTATAAACTTACTTTCAGCCTCACAGACCAAAAGCTGAAGGTGGCGGCGGTCGTCATAAAAAGAGGGTACGACAACCTTATAGTACACGTGAACGACAAAGACAGCTCGCTACTCAGCATGGAGAGTACATCATGCCACAAGATAATTCTCATTACAGAGCTCCTCATCAGGTATGTAATAACTGCTACACAATATTATTTAAAGTACTTTATTCTTATATTAGTTATGCACTTTCATTTTGTGTTTGAAATCTTTTAGCCTTACGACTATACTGAAGATAGCACAATGATGTTGGGCGTGTCAATAAATGAACGACCGTCTCGACCAAATAGCATCGAATTACGTAGGTCCTACGGTTCTGAACAGCCGCAAAGCCACAATGTAGGAAATAATATAGTCGACGGACGCATTTATAGTCCACCTCCTATGAATATTATTGAAAGGTAAATTTAAATTCTAAGTACTAAACTTGTTGTGTAATTACCAATTTTTTAAATATTATACATATATATATATATATTTTAAATTACAGCAACAATTACGCTGCTCCGCTTAGTAATAATGTGATGTATGACGAAACGGCCGGGTACAATCATCAAGCGCAACAAAACAATTATCAGTACTCCGGCAGTATGGGTGAAGTATTAAGTCCGTTGGGTACACCTAGTCGAGGAGGAAGAATTAGACCGACTCAACCGCCGCCTGCTCCACCTAGCAATACTAATTCTAATAACAGGTTAGTAGAAAATAATCGTAAAGAGTTAGCGAAAAAAAAATTCATCATAAATTCAGTGTTGAGCAAAATTTAAATCGAATAAATAATAATTTTTCGCATAATTTTTTTTTCTGCAAATAAAAATTATTTGTAACTGAGTAAATAATAAATAATTAATCTGTTTATATATTATTTATAAGAAACCTATCTATTAAAATCTAAATTCATTTAAAACTTATCTTAGGTAGTTTTTTTTTATCTTTAATAGTTTAAAATTGTAAGCATTATTTATAAATCAATTTTAAAACCATTTCTGTAATAATTCAATCAATTTAAATCAAAGTTAAAATATCTTGGGATTTCAACCCAAATTTATGTTTACACAAACTACATCTTATTCAAAGAGTAATAGAAATTAAATTATATAATACATAATTATTAAACAGTTAAACAAATAAAAGTATTTATTCGTAAATAAGAAATGTCAAGGTTGATTGATAATAACAAATATGGAAAATTACATTACTTTAAATCTTGGTTCTAAGATAGCCTTATTTTTTCAAGCCCATTATTGCCAATTATGCTTGAAAAATAAAATTAACAATTATTATTACTTATAGGGTATATCCTTACCTAAGCCATAGCTTATAAATAAATATAAACAATGTTGTACTTTTGTTGTTTAGCACCCCTACTGTATCATCAGCAAGTACTCCAACACGTGGTCGCAGTTTGAGTTCAAATCGAGAAACGTTGCCTCCTCCGCCACCTCCTCCAGTCGAGAACAATTTAGCTTGCACGGAGCCTTTACCTCCACCGCCCCCTCCAGTATCAATTAGTCCACCTATTCCTTCAGCTAACATTCCACCTCCTCCACCATTACCACCGATGCCAGATCTTCCGGCATCTATGGGCAACGGCGATATCAAATCTCCACCTAAACAAGTAAATCAACAACATTCATTATCATCTAAAATTATTATAATTTTAAATTACTTTTTAGAAATCTCCTTCCAATCACGTTATTCAATCGAAACCGCTAATACTTCCTGCTGAACATAACAATGTGAGGCAGATAAACGGTGTCATAAACGAGGCAAACTCGACTGTGACTAACATCACTAGTGGTACGGTTAACGCGTTGAGAAAAACCGCTGGACCCAGCCATGTGCCTCATTATGATCCGAGGAGCGACTTGCTCAAAGCTATTCGAGACGGTACAAATTGTAATTAATTTTATCAACTAGAATAGCTTTAACTAACATTTCTTCTATTATTTAGGTGTCGAATTAAGGAAAGTCGAAAAAATTAAACAGAAAGAAGGTGAAAGAAGTAATGCGTTGCATGACGTTGCTTCTATTTTGGCGCGCCGCGTGGCTGTAGAGATATCCGATTCTGACTCTGCTTCCGGAAGTGAATACGACAGCGACGGTTGGGCAGAAGAGACTTGTGCTTAGTTTGTTTATCTTGTCCAATATTCCTTTTGAATTCTATAAGTTTTTATGCATTCCAAAGTTCCAAATGTACTCTTACTTGTGCCTAACTAACAGTTGCTGTTTAAATAGTTGACTTCAGTCTTAATATAACGCTCACTTTTTATTGTCATAATGTTCATTTACAGTCATGTTTGACAATATGACTTCAGTCTATGAAAATCCGTATAATATAGCTTTTTTTTTATCAATTGATATAAAAGTAAAACAAATTATCGCCCAATAAATTTTGTCTAAAACAAGCAAATAATTTAGTCAACAAATGTTCATTATAGATATGTTATGATTATTATAAAATTTACACTTGTTTTGCCTTGTTAAAATTATTAATATTATAATACTAAAAATATCTTCACAAAGAAAAACTACAAATTTGAGCGTACATAAAAATATTGAAGCAAGTTTATCCCACGAGACATAATGTTTATTTTTAATAATGCAAAAACTATAGAGTAAATTTAATTGCATTTTTTATGATGCAATAATGCAATAAAATGTTATTGGAAAATATTTACTGAAACGATATTACAATGAAATTTATTTATATTGCAAGAATAGTAAAGTTGACTAATTGTTAATCGTTGTTTCTTATCAAAAATAATATTAAAAATACATTGTTGTCGGACTCGTAAATAACTTGTTAGCATTCCACGTTGGAACTAAAATTTCATCATACATTTTTTGTGCCGATTATAGAGCAATATTGTTTTTTTCCCTCAACATATCTAACTTTATTTTGACTAAACCGTGTTTGACTGTAATTAGAAATAAGGATGTTTCCGATTATATTAAAATAGTAAAGCTAAAACGCTCAATTTGCTCAAAATAGTTTCTCGTACAGGAAATTGTTTATCTTTATACTGTCCATATATTAATATCAAAATCTAATATTCATTAAGTATATTTATTGTAGTCGACCAAACTAAATTGGGTTGGAATATTTTGTTGATTGTCGATTGGAAATTCCAATAATTCTTTATTTATACATTATTTTTTTATTTATTATTATAAAATTACTATTGTTTTTAATTTTTTCAAATTTTTCAAATGTTACTAAATTGTGTTAAAATTATGGCGAATTTTGCGCCAAATTTACTGTGCAACACAAGTATGTTTCTTATTTTTCTTCAAATACTTTTGCTGCCGATGTGTGCGTGTGAGTTTGTATTAAACATAGACGAGTTTATATAAACATTTATAATATTACATTTAACCTGTATATCCTATTTATTTATTTATTTTTGTTTTTATGAATTTAAATGTTTATATGTTATTTATCTTAATATTATGTATAAAACGTGTACACTATGTAGCCTCTTAATAGCAGATAAATAACAGCTATTATTTATAAATACTCTTAACAACGAATGCAAAATAATATTAGGTATCGAAATTCAAACGCTTAAGTGTATATTGTAATAACCTTCTTATAGTAAAAAAACAAATTATTATAATTATAAATCGTAAATATTTGTTCTATATTTTGTTTATACTTGTATTCATATATTATTATTTTTTATTTATCGTAATATTATTTTAACATATTATGTGCATTATTATATTATTATTTATTTGTAACCAAAATAAATAAATGTTTTTTATTTGAAAACTACACCGTTATATCAAAGTGATATCAAGTAGTATCACACACATATTTAGTGTAGGTGAGGCAGATAAAAAATAAGGTTAATTATGAAAGACAAGCTAACAATATTTCGGAAAATGATTTAGTGGTATTCTCTAATTAACATACTAAAAATCCTACTCCCACCCCTTTGCTAAATTTTTGTGGTAGGTTAAACACAACAACTTTTGCAGGAGAAGTTTTGCCGTAAGTATAATATTTTTAAAACAATTTTGAAAAAAAAAACAGCTTTGTGAATGTTCAACCCCACTGAACATTTTAGCAGAGAGGACGGGGGTGTGATTTAAGTATGTTAGTTAGGGTCACTTTTTGAAAAGTACCGTTTGTTTTACCTCGTCCTAATCACTGTTTATTTTATATAGGATGGCATTTTGAAATTTTTACCTGAACTTTATTTTTATTTGGAAATATATTGCCATCTTAAGGACTAGTAATAAGCCATTGTCAAAAGCCAATTAAAAATAAAAAAAACTTAATAATTTTTTGAAAAAAGTAAGAGTAAAAAAAAATGATCATGTTATTCAACTGTTTATTGACTTAATTGTTATACCCAATAAACTTTGCATACATATTATTGCTAAACAATTATATTTTATTGGCCGGTGTTCCGATTGGCTGGATTTGCTTGGATTGCCTGGGGGCATACCGGGTCTCCGGGTAGCAACGTTGGTAGTGGCCCGTTGTATGCAACCATTTTCCAGAGCCACTTGGACCGCGGGGTGTACGTGTAATCCGTTAACCACCACGGTTTTTATTCATACGCTTTCTGGAGTTGGTCCTTGGCAGTCAAACAACTTACTTGGATGATGCCTGGATGTTATCCCGAATAGTACACGAGTATATTGATCACTTGTCAAAAATTGTATACAGCTCAATATTTACATAATATAGTTTGCATGTAAGACGCGAAAAATATATTTTTAAATCAACAATTAGGTGTCTCCACAGAAACGAGTAACAATTTGTATATGTTAAAAATAATGTCTTGAAGCTTATTATGCAAATCAACCTGAAAATAAATTAAAATGGTCGAAATTTATTTAATACCCTTTTTTCTTATTATAATTTCTGAAATATTGCCTTTTTATAAAACTCTTTAAACCCGACAGATTTACATTTCCTTTAAAATTTTACAGATTTTATCTATTTAATTCAAAATCATTGGGATTCGTTCTGTTTGTTTGGTAAAATTCAGTTTTATCTAGTCTTAATTTTTTTAAGTCATACAAAATTTGAGAGACCTATTAAACATAATATACATTATTAATTATCTATAAAATACAATCGGTTTTATTAAAAAATGTATTGTGTTGAAGTTTCTTTATCGATAAACAGCCGTCGCCCATTTGGTGTTCGAGTAAGTTCCAATGGACTGTAGTCATATTATATGGCTATAGATGGTTTAGTACCAAAGTACCACTATACTACAACTTATCGCAGATGAGTTTACTTTGTAAGTTATTATCCGAGTACTGTGTAAACGTGGTATGTGTATATTTAGACACGAGTGTCAATTAAAATCTAACATAACAATTTTATTATTTTTGTTTACATATTAAATAAAAAAATATTTCTATCCACTTTGAACGCCGTTTCTAAAGAGACTGTGCAACTCATAATTTTAATGTAATAGTCCACAGTTTGCTATTTGTAAAGAAGACCATCGATCAAACAACGCTATCGAAAAAGAGGTACTTAGAATAAAACTACAATAGTATAGTTTGAAAATAAAATTATTTATTAAACATAACTTTCAAATTCTAAAGAGCAAAAAAAAATTATAATAATAATTATCAAAGGCACTGGACATATATTTTTATACACGCACACAAAAATGTACATAATATTATAGTTATACGTGACACAGTAGCTGGTTAATGCAATAATAAACGTACAACGACTGTTTAGTATAATAATAAAATACTAACTAAAAAAAAAAATTGAAAAATATACAACATTTATGAATAAATTAACAAGAAGCGAATTACATAAGTAGATTAAAAATAAAATCATATAATATTATAATTATAATAAAACGAGAGAAAGAAAAAATAATCGTAGATGCCATTACAAAATAGATGCCAATACGAAATAGATGCCATACGTGGATGACGACTTTACTACAATATTATATTTAAAAAAAAAAAAAAACACTTGTTGTTCTCAGTGATGTTAAACATATACACACATACAGAAGTGAAGGAAGATGATTGGTATATTTTACTCGTCTTGTATGTCTAGTTCCATTGGTATCGATGTGGTGAACGTGGGCGTTTCAAGTTCCTCGTGTTTCTTCATCTTGACGTTCTGTAACATAAGGTTCTAGCAAAAATCATACAATTCCCAACAAGCTGCGGGAGAGACTATTGGACGATCAGTCCTAGTCCTACTAACGCTGCACGAGGTCGAAGCCCCATTGGCCATTAATCCCATAAACACACAAGAGGCGCAGCGGGCACTAAGTACTAGCCGGAAATATGTACAGACTACAGGCTGCATACATTTTACTATGAATGAAAAACGGATTAAAAAGTTAACGAAATTCGTTGCCAATAAACATTTTCAACGTTTAAAGAAAATTCCAGACTGTCTGAGTGCCTCTGCACTCACACACAAACACACACATACACATGACAATCATATTATGATATATTTATACTTATTTAAAGTTAATTTTTTCGACAAATCATTAATCATTATTATTATTATTATTATTATTATTGTTTAACGCGCACAATAGAAGGACTAGGACGGCTGCCTTGTCGCGCATTACAACAGACCTGTTGTTGCTTATAATGGTTGACTATGTCCTGATCTGCCGGACAGCTCTGCGTGAACGCGTCCAGCTGGTACATGTGCAACATGTAACGCCACAGGTACCTCAAGTCGGTCGGAATTAGGAAGTCCATGAAGTATTTTCCTGCGAACAACAGCGACAATTAACGTTATAACTTAAGGTGTAATAACATTGCTGAGAATAGTAATAGGGCGAGGACGAAAAGAGGTTTCGGTCGTGACACGAGACATTAAAAAAAAACTTTAAGAACGAGATCGACACCGAGATAAGGACCAGAAGGGCACCGTATAGTTTGTGTTCAAAAAAAATTTACTGCGTCCTACCGCCAAAGATTGAGAAAATGAAGAAAGTTAACAGAAAAGACCAATTGTCTAATAAAGTTTTAATCATAGCTCATAAATTCGTATCCCTCTGAGCCTAACCTAACCTGATCTTTTGGAAAATGAGTGATAACCCCCCCCCCCCGCTCTCGGTTAATAAAAACAAATATAACAATATTCTAGTATTTTCATCTTAAAGCGGCTCGTTATTTACTCAAAATCAATGCCTCGCGGGAATGACCACCACTCGTAGACTGATTTTCATGAAGTATTTGTAGCAGACTTGTTAAATTTGTTTGGTAAAAACTGGAAATCAACTCGCCTCGTAAAAAACAATCTTCTTTCAAAAAACATCATTCTACGAGTTATCATCATCCCTGTTTACCGTGAGGTTCTTTTTGTATTATAATGTAAATTTAAAGGAATTTTTGGATAAGTTGAATTTAATTCAGGCTCCCCTCGCAATGGACACTGCCCATACATGGTAAACGCCCTGGGAAGAGGTGGAGCGCAGAGGAGACACTGCAAAAACAAGGAAACACGTGGGAACGTAAAACATGTCAGCACAAGGAAAGTATAAGCAAATGATTACATTGAAAAGTCAGACAAGGATATTACTTACCAGCTACGCGAATGTGTTGCAAACGTGGCATGAGTTCACAGTCGAAGCAACACATTGTGTCACCGGTCAAAAACCTTGTGTTTTTCTTCTCCAAATGTGAATTTATCTTGCGCAAATGTGACAACAAACTATTGGTCGCCACATCGTCTTTTTTTAACAACATCAACTTTAATTTCTGTAAATTAAAAAAAAAATACAGTGCAATTAAAATGTATTTAAGTCAATCAATAGCTATTTATGCAAAACAAGAGCAACAACCAAAATACAGTTATTTCTTTAGATTTTTTGTAGAATATCTACAATATTTTTTATCGATTAGGTAAAGAATAAGAAAAAAAATTCATGAATTCTACGACGATCAATATTCGGAATGGCAGTTAAGACCGAAAGAAAAATGATCAGAAAAGTACATGTACAAAACACATCAATTTTTGATAAACCCCAGAATGAAGTATATCTTAAATTGTGAACTGCCATTGGTTCGAAAACAGCCTTAATTTAATTTTGATTACATAAGTTCTATAAAAAAAAAAAAATGTTTTTAAACAATTTAGTTTAGCATTCAGACCGAGTTCCATCTAGTAGATATTATCTATAAACTTATCTGTCATCTATTATAATACATTTTTTGTACACTTGTCTTACAATAATTGTAGAATGATGTAATAACCTTGCGCATACGTGTGCAATGTACTCCTACATTATTATTATTGTTCAAAAAAAGAGGATAACTAAAGATAAAGAAACGGCGAATACTTTATTAGTTCCGTTTACAGCCTAAGATAATATAGTTCCCATTATTAACCAGGTATTAAAAATATACCATTTATGTAAATTGAGTTTTTGCTTGTAAATCTATACCTAAATATGGTATTATGTACTGTGAACTATAATTTTTTTTTTCATTCAACATTTTGAAGAAGGAAAATATGGAAAAATATCAACAAATTATAGTATTTTTTTTTACTAGTTTGAAACCGATTTGCATGGCTCCAACATGCAAATTATTCAAAAACCCATATAAAGACTACCCTAATGTCCGCCTCTCTCTAACGGCTATAGGAATAACTTAAAAAATGGATCGTTTCACAGGCGCACTCTGGAATACATAATAATCGTCGTATAAAGGGCAACTTCAGAACTATTTTGTCTTATCGGACGTGCGGTCGTTAATATTATCATCATATATTATACTGTAAGAAAGGAGACGAGAAACGGGGTCGTCGTCAATGAGTAATAATATTTACGATGGTAATATTATTATATTATATACAGGTACACATGTTGAATTGCAATGTAATGATACGTGCACGGCCGAGGAGAAACCGGACAAACCGCTTTTGAAGGATAAGACGGAGCGGGGGCGACCGCCGACCGGCAATAGGAAGATAAATGATAATAACATCAACGCAACCTAAACAAAATGGAAAGTGAATAATCGAGATAATATTTAGCGATCGCAGACGTAGATGGTATTTATTTAAATATTTAAATATAAGTACCAGGCCGTGGACACTCTAATGTAAATACAAATCGGTAGCCATTTTGTTAGAAGAATTATTATACTATCATTGTTTATAAATTATATATTATGTATGTAACCAATATAAATTCTGTACCACAGAGGTCAAGCATCGCAAGTCTAAATTTAAAATAAATGAGTTACGTTCAAAAATCAAAATATTAATTTAATGACTTTTTTAAACTTATGTCCATTGTTCCATAAACGCATAGATAGCAAGTGGTATATTAGCGTAAGTCCATTTATAATAGTTCATTATTCATTTTTGTTTTGTCTCCCCTGTAAAATTTGCTTTTTGTGGCTTGCGTTATTTGACCTCTGTACCATGTATATACAAATACATTGATTTTTCCTCAAATAAGTTGGCGGATTGATTTCGACGGCGGGATATGCTGACTATGTAATTTGTTATCAGTGCCCATTCCGATTTATCTATTTTGTGTAAGTACTAAAAGTGTAGACGATATCAACATACACAAACCACACTGCAAGTATTGGGCAGAGTACAACGTTTTATATACCACCTATAATTTATTACGATTTATGATCATGTTATAGAAGTTATGTTGTAGACGTATACAAATCTTTATTATAGTCAACAAAAGTCCCGTTTTCTTTTTTTGGTATACAAAAACCCAATAAAACTCATATTTTCGTGAGTTTGGTTTTTTTACCGTCTTGTTATCATATCTTTGGTGTACTTACACTGTATAAGTTTTCGATAAGAGTGGCCACTTCCTTGTCCTGAACGAATAGATTGTAACCACCAGGCACGTTCTTCATGATGTGCCTCTCGATCTTTTCGTTTTCCAACACGGCCATGCCGTTGTCTATAAGTATTGGCGGAGGGTTAGCGTCAAAATTACTCCTGAAAACAAAAAGACACAAAATTTAATTACATAGTTTACTATTATATCACTATACTATTGATAAGAAAAACAAGCTGACAAGAGAAAATACAGCGATTGATTAAAAAACAATTGTTTAATATATTTTAATGAAAAAATAAGACCAGGGAAAACCTTTTGTTTTTGTCTGACTATAAAAAATATATCCTAAAAGTTTTTAAACGTTTAATTCTTTGATTTTTTAACGTTCTTTGAATGTAATCTGAAAAGTTATTTAATATGGAACGAAAACAAAAATGAATTTAGGCTATTAAGAAATTATATAAAAAATTTGGTACATGGGACAACTATAAATGGTAACGTTTGTCAAAAACTATTTAAATGTCCTTCAAAGCGACTTATTTGACATGGTAATTTTGCTGTCAGTAAACGTAAATGCTATATCGTAGGGCGAAGCTAAGTAAAAATTATAAGTAGAGCCCTAATGACCATAGGAAGGATTGCAATACTGCATTGAAACCGCGTGAACATTCAAGAATTATTTACCTGAAGTCAGGAGGTGGTTTTTGCATATCTACAGTAGTCACTTTAAGGCTGATGGTCTTGAGTTCGGCGAGGAGATACAGGTCCATAAAATATTCTTGGCAAAACAGGCAAGCTCCCTTCCGGCGTCCGTCAATGGTTGAAGCCTGTAACATAATAAATAATAATTAATAACACATAATGATGAACAGATCCTTGTTTTTAGAACAATTATTTTTTATTATCTACATTTTTCTGAATATTCCGGTGCAAGGTTTCCAATGAAAACCGTTTTCATTGAACTTTTAACGATTATTTTTTATAAATTGTAAATAATTAACCCCATAGGGCAAACGTAAAGTGTTATTATGCGCTATCCGAATTCCAAAACGAGTCAGAGTGTTGGCATTTATGTGCGTAAAAAAATATGTACACACAGTACATTACAAATGTTCTGAACGTCGAAGGGTATTTTAGCAAGTACGGGAAATATAAATAGCACTTGAATTACTCGATACACACAGTCGAGTCGATAAAAAATTAAAGAAAAACAAATACTCATGACTCGAAGCTTATTAAGCCGGGAAATGTTTTGAACGCCATTCACGCCATTGTCGAATGAAGATAACGAACAGCCATTTGACAAATGATAATCATAGGAAATACACTCTTTACACCGTGTTCGAAACAAGATAAACTATTGGATTTAAGTGCTTTTTAAACAGAAAACAAAAAGATAACTTACATTTGTTGTCTTACGTTAAAAAATGTTTATACAGCGCCTGTTATGTTTTAAGTAAATAACTTGTGCATGCTTCAGTTACCGTCAATATTGATTTATATATTAACACTGTTTTTTACAGCAGAGATAAGGGACAAGGTGGAGTGAGTTCAGGCCGGGACATAACAATTTTTCCAGACCTCTGAAAAATATTTGACTGACCAGAAATCTCAAAAAAAATGTTTCCATTATAGTTAAAAAAAATGGTCAATTTTTTTGCTTTTTTGTCAGTGGCATGTAAACGAACACACTATTTATCAGTGATTTTTGTGTAATTTAAACTTAATTTTTACAACCTTAATTATGTACAAACTGCTTTACATAAATAATAATAATAATAAATCAAAAACTACAAGAACCAAAATATTTATATTGGTTTTTCTTATTGAATCATAATGAGGTGTCAAATGTTGTGCAACAAGTTTATTATTCATTAATTAATTTCCTTAAATAGACTCTTAACTGTGAAAATTTTAATTTTCAGCTAGTTGTACATACTTATTTAAACTGACGGAATTGCTTTTAAATTAACATTTTCAGCCATAAACCCATAAGAATATAGGAAATTTCTGATTTTGTTTACAAAAATATCTTACTAAAAATGTTTTGTGACCAACGGTAGTTAACAGGTTTATTTAACCTATATTCTTTATGATCCAGGCCATCTGGAAAAGTCCAATTTATAGACTGGCCACTACGTTTTCTGGCGCGCTAAATTTCCTTTTAATCGCTTTTAGTTGATGCGGTAAACAAACTAGTGAAAATCAGTTTCATTTAAACATAGTACGCAATATCGAGGAATAAACATTTTTTATGGTGTTTACAAACCAGAAACAACATAATTGACTTTACTGTGGTATATGCACGGTTTTAGTGTTATTGTGGATGGATATACAATTTAACTAAGCTCAACATCAAAAACTAGTGCTATGCGCATAGGCAAACCGCAGCGTACAATAAGACTACATATTACCGACAAACAATATGTACACACAATAAAATCACTTTGAATTAGACGATAGGAGTAGCTCTAACAAGATTATACTTATCGACGGTAAATCGTTATCCAATTACCCGTTTAGGTTAGCATCGAGGTCGGCAAAAGGAATATACAATCGAGCTTAGCGTTCATACCAAAGTTAAGTAGGTAAACGCGGTGTTTTCCTCGTAGCCGTGCGAACTACTGACAATTATTGTAAATACCATTATTATTATATTATGATATGTTGGCCAACATAATACATACAGACAACAAGTGATTCACACCAGCAGGAGTAATTATTTCGCTAAACGTACCGTCGGTGTTGTCCTCGTTATTATTCAACAGTATTCAAGAATATAACCGTATTTTAGCTTAGTTGCGGAGCGAATGTGGTATAGATTTCATTTATACTATAGATATTTTGTATTGATGTGTCTCATTCTTGAAGTGTGTCTATAAGGGCATGGCCGTTTTCCGCCAAAACCGAACCTTTCCCTTTCCCGCCGATTCACTTTTCCGCCAATTATAAAAATGAATTCAAATTAGTCGATGAATTGAGTATAAGCAGCCCATTTCCCAAACTAATTATCAACATTTTATGAAATTTTGGAAAAATAAGAAAAAATTATTTAAACATTTCTAAAACAACTAGAGATATAACATACAATTATTTTTAATTGTCCTATACTTTGTCATTGTCCAACAATGTTCAAAACAAATTCAAGATTACAAAACTAAGCCAAGTGGAAATAATGAAATACACATTTGTTATTAACTTTATAAACAACACATTATATACATTTAATATTTTTTCAAAAAAAAATTAGGAAACAAAATTGATGATGTAACTGTTATCTATTTTTAATATTTTAATTATTATTATGTCATTATTAACCACGATTTTATAAAAAAAAAACTTGTTTGGCTTAAGTGTTTTATCAGCTTAGGCGGAAATTTATTTTCTAAAATTATCATGTACAAGTTTATTTTTAAAACTTATTATGAGTCGTAATAAACATAATATTAAAAATAGTTGTATGTTATATCTCTAGTTATTTTAGAAATGTTAAAACAATTTTTTCTTATTTTTCGAAAATTTCAAAAAGTGTTGATAATTAATTTTGGAAATGGGCTGCATTATACTTAGTTCATCGACTAATTTGAATCAGATTTTATATTTGGTGGAAAAAGGAATGTAGCATTATCTAATTTGGCGGAAAAGTGAATCGGCGGAAGAGGGAAAGGTACAGTGTTGGCGAAAAGGATCTCGCCCGTTTAGAATGGAACCTTGGATAATTTAGTAGATCCACAAGATTGTAATTTATAACTTATAGATCATAAATGTCAAAAAATCAGTTCAGGGCAGAGCTGTCCAAAAATAGCCAGCAGAGTTACCCAAAAAACTGAGCAAGTGAATTTGATCATTTTTGGGTTTTCCGATTTTCTCATTTTCTCACACAAAAAGTTGCATATTTTCTCAACTTATCGACTAGACATTTTTACATATTTAATGTAGTGATGCAAATATTTCATTTGCAATTATATTGTAGAAAAGTGAATACACTACGTTTTAACAATAAGCGAAAACTGTTTTTAATGATTAAATTAAATGTTATACCAATTTTATCGTTGAAAGCAGATTTTTTATAAGAATAATAGACCAAAAATTGTGGGCAGCATGTCAGATTTTAAGACACACAATGTATGTATACCGCTACTCCATCACTCTGAACGTTCCAGGACCAAAACATACATTGTTATTACAGAGGTGAATGCGCGGGGGGTCACGACCTTATAGTGCATTGACTAAAAATATTCAAACGAAAGCGACAGCTGCTGCTGGCAATAAAAACAAAATAAGATCACTTTAAAAAGTTATATACAAAAGTACTTTCACAATTTTACCCGGGTATAATAATATGCGTGTGTCATATACCTACACACAAAACTGGTTTCAGACGGGTTACCCGAGTCTGTATTACAGCGAATGAATAACATAACATACGACTTGTAATAACAATAATATATTATAGCTATACATGTATTTATACACAGAAGTACCGTATTACTGACAAGCTATGGCTGTTGTTGGGCAACGTTTCGTATTTCATAAGTTGCAAAAAAAATCAGGTGGTAGATATACAAGTGTTACACAGGAAACGTTTATTCGAAAACCAGAAACAGCAGTTTAGTTGAGTTCATCATAATGTTATGCAGCACACCACGACCTATCCCAACATAGCAAAACAAAAATACTCACCAAATTGGTACATATATACACAAATAGTATCCAAGGTTATTTTGGAAGGATTAGAGCAATATTTGCAATAATTAAATCAAAATCGGTTTGTGGTGTTGGAAAGGAGGTCCCCCATGATCATGGTTGGCAAAAAAAAATCTAGAGGATTTTTGCTTGAAATATGTGTTTTTTAAGGTTTATACTTTATGTAAACTTAAGGCGTAGTGGTACTTCGAAAACCTAAGCGTAAGCAAAATTTAGTGTAAATAGCTTTAGATAAAAAATATCAAAATTTAGTCACAGTTGATTTAGGGTTGATTTTCAAAGTTCGGATATACAAAACACAATAACTGGTACAATTTTTGAAGACTTGAAAAAATGCTATACTAATAAACAAATATTTGAGTAGAAATATTGTATAAAAACAATACTAAAAGAAAAAATCTATGAAATTCGAAAAATTATATCGGTTTTTTTTAAAACTAATTTTTGACAATTTTAAATGACAAATATTTGTAATTTAGTTGTATAATATCTACAAATTTTATCTCAATGTATTAATAGTTAAAACACTTTTATATAGGTAGCTTAAATAACGTTTTTTTTTATTTTTATAGAAATTTGATTTTTTGTGGTTCCTTTCTTTGTGTTTAACATTTTTCGATGGACGGCAAAATAATATTGTAAGACCAGACTTCCAACTGCAACACTTATACAGCAGACCTACCCGTACGATGTTATTAAAGTATATCGAGAACAAAACTTGGACGCGTTCCCAACAGACGTTAGGAGAAAATTTAATTATACTCAAAACGCAATCATACAGAGCACTACCGTAGAAGGAATGAGGTATACAGTATGTATGCGAGCATACCACGTGTACCTCTATACTAGGATATTAGAAACTCCAATAGCCGCCAAAGTCGATTAACGCGAACCATATGGCTATTTTTCTTTTTCTGTAGGTCAGTGTACCACCGCTTTCCTGATAGCGCGATCCGGCACCAAGGCAATATATTAGGTATACTGAAGTATTAATGCATGCCCAGTCGATTATTATTGTATCTATTGTTAGGTCTGTTGACTTAGGACGAATAATTTCAAGTAAACCACCGTCGGAAAACAAATGAACCGTACAGAGTGAAAAAAAAGCGCGTGCCGGCAG